CTGTTACTTGGTGATTTAATGCCCACCATTTCCTCGGGGGGGGGGGTCTCATTGTACTACGTGGCTTTCAGTTGGAGGCTTTTTTCGCCCTCACCCCCCCATGTTTTAAATACGGGTATCCCCCCATTTTTGATCCTCGACCAACTCTCTTTGCTCGATCTTCAGTCTGCTTTCCTCCACGCACGACCCCACCGGGTCTTTCTCCAGACTTACATGACGCGATCTTTTTTCCGCATCTAATTTTCCCCTTCCTATTAAACCACCTTTCCTTAGCCCTCGCGGCAATTTGATCGGGAAAATTGGATCTTTATCACACCTCCTGCTTTTAGTGAGTTCCCTTTCTTCATCCCCATTGATACTCCTAACATTTTTCTCGACGTCAGTTTTATCCGCAGCTTCTCATTCTAACCCCCAAACCTGGGGCAGGCTTTTCTCAGCAGTGCGTGCCTTGGGGGGTTCTCCCGCTTGGCTCGTGCAGTAATTTTGAAACTGCGCAGGGGGCAGGTACCGGTACAATAAACCGCTAGAAAATTCTTGATTTTAAGCAGAACTGCAAATCGCTCGCCGTGTCATCCGTAAAGCTAAAACGCACTTGTTGGCGAACTATGTTTCCCCCATCACCTCTGCTTCTTTATGAGTGCAGTCTGGAAAAAAGTGAGGAAATTGAGGGGAAAAATACTCTCCTACCCAGCCCCTTTTTCTAGGGGTCGCGGGTGTTGATGTAGCAAACCCTCTCGCGTTCCCATTAAAACTTGGCACACATCGGCCGTTTTCCCCAGGGCTCCATCTATGCCCTCGTTTTTTTTCCTCAAAGTCCCTGCCCAGATTTTAGTCCCCCTTGGGATTTTCTTCTCCAAGAAGAACATTAATGTCCTTTTACACTTCAAAAAACTGGGCAACCTCTCACCCTTTGCCGATCATCGGCGCTGGGCGACGAATCATTTTCGTATGTTACAACTTTTAAATTCGGTCAAGCCCTTTGTCCTTTTACACCTTTTTCAACTTTTTGGGGCACAAGGATTTTTTCCCCCCAGCTGTGGAAATCTGCCATTGTTCTCCCTTTCCGAAAACCCGGGGGGTCTACAGGACTGATCCCTCCCACTATCGCCCCATCGTTTACAGTGCATTTTTTTGCAAAGTGATTGGGGAAAGTCTCGTAAATCGACGTTTTTTTTTTGGGATTTAGAACACAAAAACATCCTCCGCTAGTCATATGGCTTTTTTAAGGGGGCGTTCTACCATAGACCCCTTATACCTTGGGGTACTATTTTGATGCCTTTGCGAAAATCACTCAGTTTTTGCCATATTTTTTTACCTTGAGAAGGAATACACAAATTTTTTTGGTTAATATTTTGGCCCAGGCCCCCTTCCTTAGGCCTCCGAGGCAATCTGCCATCCTTCCTTAAGAAAATTTTTAACTGACAGAATTTTTGTGTTTGAGTCAATAATTTTCTTTCCCCGGACTTCGTCCAAGCGAAGGTGTCCCTCAGGGATTGTTCTAAGCACAACACTTTTTTTCCTTGCAATAAATATTTGGCCTCGTTTCTTCCACCCAATTTGGTCACACTTATGTGTGACTTTGCTATTGTTTTAAAGGGACTGACTGTCATCTTATTGCAGTTTCCTCCCCGCATGCGGTCGACCGTGTTTCCCTTGGGGCCCCCACGCAAGGGTTTAAATTTTTAAGTACCAAAACTCCCAAATAAAATTTCACTAGCGCCTGCATCTCCCCACGTCCTTTGATCTCTATGGGTCCGTACCCCGAATGATACAGTAGGTTTTTAAGGGCCTTCTCTTTGACCGTCGGTTTTTTCCTGGGGAAACCTACATAAAACCCCTTTTGAAGGCAACTTTTCCCCAGCCGGCTAAACCTTTTAAAAAACCCCCTTTCTCATCTTTCCTGGGGAAACGATCGCGAACTCTGCTTCGCCTACATTCACCCCGTTTTATCGAAACCGATTATGGTGACCAATTTTTTTCCGCGGCCTCTCCCGCTACTCTCCCCTAGCCTTAACTCTATCCATCACCAAGGATTACTTTGTGCCTTGGTTTCTTTTCGCTCTTCCCCCCTTTAGAGCCCTATGCAGAAGCGAATGTTTCCCCCTTGTCTGTCGCCGTGATGCCCATTGCCTTCGCTACAGTACGCTCCACGATCACACAATCCCTTTCCCTTTTTGAAAGGGAATATATTAGTTTCTTCTTTTTCTTTTTCCCCCCCTGTTTCTTTTCCTCCCCTTTTCTCTTCGCCTACATTAAATTTGTCTCCCTTTTAGTTACCCCCTTTATATGTTCGAACATCTCACTTTTCCTCCCCCCGGGTTAGGGTTTTTGGGGGTGTTCTTTCTCACTCCCTTGTCGAAAGTCAACTGCCCCGGGGGCCCCACCCCTTTTTTTTTGATCACTTTCCCCCCCATTCTCTGCCACCGCTGTGACACAGATGGCTCTAAGCCTTCAGACGGCGTCGGAGCGCAGCAGTGTTTTCCGGGCAGCGTCGTGCGGGGACTTTACTATTCAGCTAGCATTTTTACGTGAACTGTATGCCATTCTTGCGCATTATTCTATCGCTCTTTCCCCGTGTCATTTTGTGTGTTCAACTCCCTTTGCTTACACTATAAAAAAATTTTGTAATCTCATCCCCTATTCTCCTTTTCCAACTTTTGGGAAAGCCCTATCTCTACCCAAAAATAAAATATTTTTTTTTGTTGGTCCCTGGTCATTTTCAATACGGGGAATCAGGCAGCACTGCGGCCGGTCAGCTCAAGGCCTCCCTTTCCCATCGAGGGGGTTCCATTTCTGGCTATTTTGCTGCAATAGCTCCCACCTTTTGCACCCTTGGGAACAACTTGGGGCAACTCTTCGGTAACAAACTTCATTCTATTAAAAGAGCATAGGTTATGGCCGTCTTCTTTTCATCAGTGCCGAGGGTTTGGGAGACCACTCTTCCTCCTTCGCATTGGTCACACTCGTCTTTCTATGGTATCTCTGGAGAGGCACCCCTTTCCTCTCGGACGGTCAAGTTCCCGATCGATTAGCCCAAAATTTTGTTGACTGCCCTCTCTATCAAAAGCACGCAGAATTTACCTCCAACGTCTCTTGTTCTATACTCTTCTTTACCCTTTCCCCTTTTTGCTGTGGACCCCCTTTAATCCCCCTCTCATTGCTTCTTGAAAACGGGTGATTTACTCCACAAACTCTGTTTATACTTTTCGCACTCCCCCCCCCCAGCCCTTTTTTTAGTTCGTCTCTTGCTGCCCCTTTTCCCTTTCACCCTCCCCTGCCCCGTGTTATCCCCAACCCCATTACTCATCCATTCCCTTTTGCCACCTGATGCCCCCCGTTCCTTCTGCCCTGCAGCGCTGTATAGTCCTTGTGCTTAGCGCTTCTTTTTTATTATAATAATAATCTGCTAACTTCACTCATTTCAAGCCATTTCGGGTAAAACAGTCAAAATCATCTCTTTCTGTAATTATTTCCCTTTTTATCATATGGGCCAATAAACTCCGAATAAACTGTAAAAAACATAAAAAAAAATGCCGTAAAAATTTTCTGTTTAAAAACCAAAAATATTTTCGCGGTTTTTTTTTCATTATGCTTGGTGCTTTCAGGGTTTGTTTTAGTGGTGCAAATTTCCACATACTGATTTTTCTCAAAATGGCCCCCAAAATTTATCACTCATAGCTCATCTAATGACTGAGCTTATCGGGAAATCAGCTTGGGGCCCTGGCTTCAAAGACAAAACTACAGGAAAGACCCTCAAAGGGTTAACCCTTGAATTTTTCGATCGTCAATATTCGTTTTTCGACCAAATGTTTTTGAGATATGGGTTAAAACAAGCAGGAAAAGCTGGGGACCTAATGTGGAGAAGAGTCTGGTGGTCAGTTGCCCATAAAAAAAATCCCGCAGTCAAATGAGAAAAAAAAAAAGACCGTTTTTTTTTTAAAATTTAAAAAGCCGCTTTTGGTTCTATTTTCGATAGTATTTTTTGGTTTTTTATTCACGTTTTTTGGTCTCATTTGATAGAAAAGGAAAACAAATTTTAGAAATAAGGTGATTTTTATTGGTTTTATTGAAAAAAAAACCTGGAAATGGAGCTAAAGAAGGGGAAAGTTTGGGTTTTTTTCCGATGTTTCAAAAGTAAACAAATGAGTCATTTTCCAAAAAAAGTCCAAATACCATTCTAATATGCATCTGAATGGGTTGACATTATTTATACAAATTATTCAATATTGCAGTAGTCGCATAATGTAAATCTTTTTATTTTTTGTTTGAATAAAATTCAAAATAAAAGCAAGAGTAATATCAGAGGGGCCTGGAGTGGACTGTGAACAAAGAAAATATTATTTTAGAGCCAGGAATGTCTGCATTGTTCTTCTGGACCTATTTTAAATTGTCTTTTTTTAATTTGTGAAATTGGGCCAAATTGCAAATTTCTGATAATTAAAATTTGGGGAGTTGAAATCATAAATGGGCGTTTTTTTTGTACCAAATGGGTAGAAAAATGGGTTTGGCACTGGAAAAAAAAAAAATTAGCCAAAAAAAAGGGGTCAAAGTGGGCGAACTCGCGATTCGAAAATATCGCTGAGGTCGCTAACTTCGCGAGAGAGTAATTCCATCAGTTTTCCATCAAATTTTGTTCTTTTGGTGTCATTACCTTTGGGAAAAGATTGTCATTTCATAAAAAAAAAAAAAAAAAAAAAATTAAATTTTTGTGACACCAGGGGAACCTCAGAAATTTGGGGGTAGCAAAGCAAGGGGTTAAAATAATCAAAACTAAGCACTAAACCACCAGGGTCATACAGTGCTGCTTCAAATCAAGAGCTCTTCATCAAGGATGCTATTTGTAATTAATATGTGCTGAGCAGGATATGACTTTTACTGTGTCACTACCATTGCTGTTTTGGATAGAGAATAACTATACCCATATATGGGCACAATGCTGTATAGCCCTTGTGGCTTAGCACTTCTTTTTTATTATAATAATAATAATATGGGCACAATGCTGAAATTTGTATTTAAACTTTTATTTTATTTGATATACAGTACAATTTTTTGTTGATTACATATCAAATTTCTAGCCCTCCCACCCCCTAGTAAGGAAAATAACAAATTTTATGTTAACATTAACATTATTAATTATTGCACTGCCTATAACAATGGAAACAAATCAACATAATACAACCTCATCAGAAATGTAGTTAGGATAGGACTCCTTATGATGGGTCAAGTAATACACATTTGTGACATTTCAATAACGTCAAATGTGATTGAGTAAATGATCTACAATAGACTCTCCACTCACAGCAAAATGGAATAAATCAAATAAGTCTTCAGTATTTACACACCATTATTTACAATAAAATGTCCATAGGAAGAATTCCATTGGTAAAAGCAGTGGTGCCTCTGCAATATATATATGTGTATATATATATATATATGTATATATATATATAAAGCCCTCAAGTTATCTCAAGGACAATAGGTGGGTACCTAAAATTTTAAAATATATTTATTTCTTCATTTTAAAATTCTTCGAGAATCAACCAAACACAGTCATCTACAAGGCTCTTACCAGTGGTCAGCTCATTTGGTAGGATTCACTAACCCATACTTAACAAAATATTTATTGTACATAGTCACTTCAAATAAGTACATCATTGATACTCTACCACATGGAATGTGTCATAATATTTAATGTGGACGGCTTGGCTTCAATATAAAAGACATATGTCACTTCATATATGAAATCTAAATTCATTCAATGCCTCTAAAACAAGGAAGTGTTAGCAATGAGATAAATAGGAGGAAAATGTATAACTATGGTAAAATCAGGACCATTTGTAAGTTTAAGACCCTTGGCCCTAAATTAACTAAAATAAAAATCTTGGTTCTACAAAGATGAAAATATACAAACAGTCTATATGCTTGTGTAAAAATAGAGCAATTTACATCTTACTATGTATATCCAACCAATGCATTTACTACATTGTATATTTAAAAAATTATTTCACGAGTTCTAAAGAACTCGTATCTAATATAAACATCATATCTTCACATGATGAAATTACTTCCACTCTTAAGTCATTTCATACACTAAGCACCAAAAACATTTTAGTTACAGTAACAAATTTAACCTTGCTTAAAAATTGTACATTACAAAATTTCACAAATGTATCAATACACTGAATAATCTCAAACTTACACATCAGTACGCAACAGCCTTATATCATTATCTGACTTTCGATTAAAATAAAATTATCATGATCTGGTTTGCATTTGGGACGGCATCCCTTAGCACAGGTAGTGGCAGCGCTGAATCAGTTAATAGTTTCTGCGTATAACGCAAATTTCAATATAGTCTTAACATTCAGAGTTATCATCCTCCACCACCAGCTTTTGAGTGTCCTTGCCAGTGTCATTACTAGAAGGACTTAGCTCTTTTTTACGAATTTGTATATTAGGTGAAGTTTTTTGCATCATGGCTGATGGAGAGAGAACAGCTAGGGGTGGAGGTTGTGTTGACCCATTACTGGTCTCCTGTGCCTCCATGCTGTAACCCTTAGTCTTACTGGTATCTAAGGGCACTTCATAAAGACCTTTTGTATTTGTCTGTTCTGTTGCAGCTCCCTCCATGGATCCCATGGCATCATACATAGGATTGCTGAAGTTATGATTCTTTGCAGCAATTTCACCAAGATTAACATCTCCCTCTATAGGCACCTGTATACAGAAAAATGTGTGTATTAACAATAAAAATAAAAATTATTACACATCTTGCTTCTTTCATTTAAAGTGTGCAGATATCACACTTCAAAGGCCCTCTAGAGTGCAACATCCCTATCTCTCCTTAAGACCCCTCAAGGGAGGTTCCTTAATGCTGGTGAGGGGTCTTGATCTAGCGAACTGGATCTGTGCTCCAGTTCCCTGAATTGAATCTGAATACCTTCCATCCCCCCCCCCACATGTGCTGTATAATCCTACGGGTTTAGCGCTCCCCCATGATTATAATAATCTCCTTCAGAGTACGGACACTGTATTTCCCATCTTCAGGTATTTCTGAATCCCTTCATAAATATTACCTTGCTTACACTCCAACGTGTCAAGCCATAAAACCCACTCCTTTTCACCCCAATCTAACATGCCTGCTGGATGCTCAAGCCCCTAGCACTCAAAACCCCTTTTATGCCCTCCTTCCAAACTTTCCTAGGATGACCCCTACCCCTCTTCTTTCCATTAACTACTAAAATATTTTAATCAGAATTTTTCTTTGGAGTGACTAAGCACCATCAGAGAAAGTAAATAAAGGACAAAAAAATTCATTTTCAACATCTATGTTCTTCAAAATGAAAATAAGAGAATATTTGGGTTTTAAACCAGGAAGCAATTGTCATAAAAATGCATATAAAGCACCTTCATACTTTCTATTCATTCATTATGCACACTTCCTTGTAATTATTTAGGTTATCATACTCATTACAAGTCTCACTCATCCCTATAATTAAAATATTAAATTCTTACAGTGTAGGCAGCAGGTAACTGCTTCCATTGTGCTAGCTATAAAAACAAAATTGATAAAAGTTACTGATATATAAATGCATATTTGGGTGAGAACATACATATATTATCAATGTTGTGTACATACTTTAGATTTAATGCAACAGAAATCATATAAACAAACTATGCCTTTTCCTTAAATACAGGGAATGTGAAGGACTGGCTGGTGTATTAGGTTTAAGGACTATCAGTTACACAGGAGTTATTAAGGCTGCAAATCACCTCTACACCACCAGTCAAGAATAATTCCCAGTATATAGATTAAAGTAAACTAAGTGTATCTACTAAGATAAATCTCTTTCTGCAAGGCCTGGTCATATACTGGGCCATGGGGGCACTGACCTTGCACTGCTGCTCACAGTGTAGCATACCTTACTAATATGGTAGATTAGGTTCCAGACCACTGCCATGAAGCAAATTAGCCTCTTTTTTTTTTTTTCACTTGCCATCGCACATAAAAGCCTAAAACATGTTTACACTATCTTATCATTTTCATGTTCACTGGAGTAGCACTTTTAATTTCTTTCAAGAACTATTTGAGTTCATTACTGTACTAACTGTTTGGAACACCAAACCTAGCTTAAAGCCTGTTTTGGCATTCGACATGTCTTTCTCACTAAGCCTAATCATTTCTAGCTTTTGATTTAAAGAGGCTTGTGACTCTTCACTAAAATTAAACTTAGGGGCCATTGTACTGTAATTAATACTTAAAATAATAACAATAACACAAGTAAGAAGTTTGAAAATTGCCAGAATATGACACTGACACAGTGCACAATTGCTGTAAACAGGTTGATGTGCACATCACTGCCAAAAATAATAACCATGAATATAAATGAAAAGTACCATATTAGCAAGGTATGCCTGTATAAAAGGACATACAGTCCTTGAAGAAAAAAAGGTAAGTGTCATGTACGGTTTTCAAGCCAAATCAAATGCCTTTAAAGTGTTTATGACAAAGAAACAGTCACAATTCCAAGTATTGGTTTGACTGTCATGAGGTACAGGTCCGCCATCACAAATCCGGCAATCAGTTATTTGGTTCCTTCAGTTATTTGGCACTAATTTCGGCTAGCATAATTTTAAATTTCCAGGGTCGCCACACCAACCTACTGTTACTGCTTGGTGGTGCTACTTCCTGCATAAATCATTCCAATTTCTTTTTCTCCATTTATTGTTATAACCTGCTTACTTTTAGCCCTAGCCATGGTTCCAATGAATAAAAGAAATGCTTCTCGTTATGTAAAGCACATATACAGTACATTGTCCATTAAAGATAAGGTGGGTTTGAAGCCACTGTCAGTTGCCATGAGCTCAGTCTCGTGATGCAGGGGAATATACATTATTATTACGCTACTATCAACACTACAGCTTATTTGCCTATCACAACTGATCTAATATGACATAAACAATATAAAACATATTAAATACTCCAGAATGAATAATATTTGGCATAATACCGAGCAGTTCGACAGAGGTATGAAGAGGACGCAGGATACAAGTACCATTCTCCTATCCCTGTTTTGAGGGCTTATATTAGAGAAAATGGAGTATAGCACACGGCTATGATATATACTTGTACTGCACCATAAAACTGAAACATAAAAGCTATTTTCTCTACACAGATTATCACACATAGCAGCCTATGTGTAGAGAACCTATGATAACCCAAAAAAGTCAGACAAAGTGTCTTATTTCTAGTACATAGCTTGGGCTAGCCATATATGGTTTTTGGTAAATACATGTACAGTGGGCCCTCAACCAGCGATGGCATTGATTAACGATAAATCTGACTAGTGATACATTTAAACGCAAAAATTTTGCCTTGACTAGCGCTTAAAAACCCGACCAGCGCTATTCGTTCCGTACGAGACGCGTCCACTTTGGCTGGCCTGAGGCGCCTCACTTGTCCCATGGGTGCCAGTGTTTACAAGCCCGCCAGCCACTGCGGTTGCTTCCAAACATACAACTGGAACATTTCATATTATCACAGCCTTTGTAGTGATTGCACCTGCAAAATAAGTCACCATGGGCCCCAAGAAAGCTTCTAGTGCCAACCCTACAGCAAAAAGGGTGAGAATTACTATGGAGATGAAGAAAGAGATCATTGATAAGTATGAAAGTGGAGTGTGTATCTCTGAGCTGGTCAGGTTGTATAATAAACCCCAATCAACCATCGCTACTATTGTGGGCAAGAAAACGGCAATCAAGGAAGCTGTTCTTGCCAAAGGTGCACCTATGTTTTCGAAACTGAGATCGCAAGCGGTAGAAGATGTTGAGAGACTCTTATTGGTGTGGATAAACGAGAAACAGAGAGCAGGAGATAGCTTCTCTCAAGCGATCATATGTGAAAAGGCTAGGAAGTTGCATGACGATTTAATTAAAAAAATGCCAGCAACTAGTGATGTGAGTGAATTTAAGGCCAGCAAAGGTTGGTTTGAGAGATTTAAGAGGCGTAGTGGCATACATAGTGTGATAAGGCATGGTGAGGCTGCCAGTTCGGACCACAAAGCAGCTGAAAAATATGTGCAGGAATTCAAGGAGTACATAGACAGTGAAGGACTGAAACCTGAACAAGTGTTTAATTGTGACGAAACAGGCCTGTTTTGGAAGAAAATGCCAAGCAGGACCTACATTACTCAGGAGGTCCTAGTGGCATTAAAAGAACAAGGGAAGTAACCCCAGAAAAAGACTTGCTACCTCAAGTGCTAATGGAAGGGGATTCCCCTTCTAAACACTAAGAAGATCAACGGTCTCCCCTCCTCCCATCCCATCAATCATCACCAGATCTTCAATAAAGGTAAGTGTCATGTAACTGTGCATGTCTTCTTCAGTTTGTGTGTATTAAAATTAATATTTCATGCGGTAAATTTTTTTTTTCAATACTTTGGGGTGTCTTGCACGGATTAATTTGGTTTCCATTGTTTCTTATGGGGAAAATTAACTTGACTAACTATTATTTCGATTAACGATGAGCTCTCAGGAACGGATTAATATCGCTGGTTGAGGGTCCACTGTATTCGATTCCCAGCCAGGGTAGAAACATTGGGCGTGTTTCTTTACACCTGTTGTCCATGTTCACCCATCAGTAAATGGGTACCCGGGTGTTAGTGGACTGGTGTGGGTGTTAGCCTGGGACGCTGACCTAATTTGCCTGAAATGCTTAGCATAACAAGGGGCTTTCTATATGGTAGTATGTCACTGATGTCAGCTAGGCCTGTATACCACGTACATGTACGTGTAGTAAATAAAGATATTATTACAGTGGACCCTTGCCTAACGATATTAATGCGTTCCTGAGAGCTCAACGTTAGGCGAAATTATCGTTAGCCGAATTAATTTTCCCCATAGGAAATAATCGAAGACTAACCCAAAAGGATTCTTTCAGGTATACAGAAGTAAGATCAGGGACAAGATAGGCCCACTCAAAAGTTCCTCGGGTCAGCTCACTGACAGTGATAAGGAAATGTGTAGAATTTTTAACACATACTTCCTCTCAGTTTTTACAAAGGAGGATACCAGCGATATTCCAGTAATGATAAATTATGTAGAACAGGACGATAATAAACTGTGCACTATTAGGGTCACAAGTGACATGGTCCTTAGGCAAATAGATAAATTAAAACCTAACAAATCCCCAGGCCTGATAAAACGTATGCAAGGGTTCTAAAGGAATGTAAAGGGGAGCTTAGACACCTTTGGCTAATCTTTTCAACATATCACTACAAACTGGCATAGTGCCAGATAAGTGGAAAATGGCAAATGTGATACCTATTTTCAAAACAGGTGACAGGTCCTTAGCTTTGAACTATAGACCAATAAGCCTAACCTCCATAGTGGGAAAATTTATGGAATCAATAATTGCCGAGGCGTTCGCAGCCACCTTAAAAAAGCAAAAATTTAAATAAAACGAATCTCAGCATGGTTTTACAAAGGGCGTTCCTGCCTTACGAATTGATTAACTTTTTTCACTAAGGTATTTGAGGAGGTAGATCATGGTAATGATGTTGACAGGGTCCCACATCAGAGACTATTGAGGAAAATTAAAGCACATGGAATAGGAGGAGAAATTTTTTCCTGGATAGAGCATGGTTGACAAATAGGCAGCAGAGAGTTTCAAAAAATGGGGAGAAATCAAAGTGGGAAGCGTCACGAGCGGTGTTCCA